AATATAAATTAAGAAGAAAATCTATCTCATATATGTAATTATAAGAGCAATAATTTTCATTTTTAAAAAAATTTTAAGAAATAGATATGATTAAAAAAAAAAAAATTTAAAAATAATATTCATATTCTTATTTAGTATTCAGAAGATGATGTACATCGTTCAATAAAATATAATATATGGTGTTCAACAGAACATGGAAATAAACGTTTAGATTCTGCTTTTCGTGAACGTGAAGGAAAAGGACCAATATATTTGTTTTTTTCTGTTAATGCTTCGGGACATTTTTGTGGTATGGCAGAAATGATGTCACCTGTTGATTATGAACATAAAACAGATGTTTGGCAAATGTCAAATAAATGGCAAGGTAAATTTGAAGTTAAATGGATTTATGTTAAAGATGTACCAAATCAACAATTTCGTAATATACGTTTGGAAAATAATGACAATAAACCAGTAACAAATTCACGTGATACACAAGAAATACCACCTGAAAAAGGAAAATTAATGTTAAAAACTATGCATATGTATCGTGATAAAACATCAATATTTGATGATTTTCAATATTATGAATCAAAACAAGCAGAAGAAATAATTAAAAAACCTTCAAATAATGACTTTATGAATACTAATACTAATACACGTGGAAATAATAATAATAATAATAATAAACGACAATATTCATCAAATAAATCGTCAACTATTTCATCTGATCAACAACAACAACAACAGCAACATCAAAATGAAAATATGAATAATGAAGACAAAAACTAAAACAATATCAATATGCACGCGTTTTTCTTTTTGTTTTTTTTTAGACTATACTAATTTATATCCTCTCGCTTTCTATGCTGGGAAACTCTTCATTTTCTTTGTGCGTGTGTGCGTGTGTGAACTTTTTAGTAGACATCATTCATCACTCTCTGTTTTTGCGTGTGTGTGTATATTTGGGTATGAGGTTATTTGTTTTCTTTTGTTTCATTCTAACACTTTGTGCTAACACTATACTACAACAACAATTTGTTGTTGTTGTTATTGTTTCATGATTTTTCTTTTGTTGTTGTTTGTTTTTCTCAATGCCGAAACAAGTTTATTCATTCTCATTTATGTGTTTTCATTTTTTCTTGATTGGTATCGTCTAAGCTATTTCACATTATAGTTCATCTTGCTTAACAGTTTCTTCTTTTTTTCTCCTCTTGTTTTCTTTTTTTGTTGTCCCTATAACATTTCATTTATATATCCTTCATCCGCGTGCATGATGATTATCATTGTTTTTTTTTTGTTTTTTTATTTAACGTCGTCGTTCGATTGCACACATAGTTTTTTTTTCTACTCTTGTATGCGTGTCGTCATTTTTTGTTTTGTTGTTGGCTTGTTTTCTTTTTGCAAGAGAGTTCTATTATATAACTTTAAGAAAAAAAAAACCGAAAGTACATGATGAAGGAAAAACAAAAAACAACACGTTCGATTTTTTCAGGATAGATTATGCATTTGACTCTTGAATTTGCTGGTGGTGCAGAATTACTTTTTGGAAAACAAAAAAATCATTCAATTGATTTACCAGATAATAATTCACCATGGACTATACGAACATTACTTGTATGGATACGTGAAAATCTTCTTCGTGAACGTCCAGAATTATTTATTCAAGGTGATTCAGTTCGACCTGGAATTTTAGTTCTTGTAAATGATATCGATTGGGAATTATTAGATGGTCTTAATTATCAATTAAAATCAAATGATAATATTTTGTTTGTTTCTACGTTACATGGTGGATGAAAAAAAAAAATCTTGTTTTTTTTTATTTTAATACACACACATATATATATATATAGAAGTATAATATGTAAAGAACTTTCATTTTGATAAACAATTCAGAAAAAAAGAACGAAGAATTTAACCGAGTAGTACTTTTTTAAATTTATTAGTCATATCTTTTGTTGGTAGATTTTCTGTATCATCAGAATCAGATGATGTCATTTGAAATGTTGGTGTTGATGTACATGCAGGTGTACATAGAAATTGAAGTAAAGGTAAATAAAATTTACCACAAAAATCGACAAATTTAACATTTTTATGGTAACTTTCAAAATAAACACCTAAATAAGAAGAAACAAAAAAGGAAAATTTTAACCAAAGATAAATAAATAAAATTAACCTTTGCATTTCGGATTTAAACATGATTTAGCTGAATTTAAATATTCAACAAGACTTTTTGGTATTGTTCTATCATCATAACGTAGTTTATGAAATTTTATTGTTCTACCAGATAATTCTTTTAATGTTGGTACATCATATGTTAAATCTCGAACAAAACGTACGACAAGTGGATTATTTCTTAAACTTAATTCTTGTAAATCAAGACGTATAATGTCTGGCGGCAAAGCACTAAATTGATTGTTATGTAATGAAAGTGATTTTAAACGGATTAAACCTAAAAAGAAGAAAAGCAAATTTGAGAACGGAAATACAAAAAAGAAAAACAACAGATGTTTGTTTTGTCAACTTACGAGAAATCGAAGGTGGTAGTGTACGTAAACGATTTCCACTTAAGTTTAAAACCACTAAAGAACACATGTGACCAATCGAATCTGGCACATTACCAATTTGATTTCCACCCAAATATAGAATTTCAACTCTACAGAAAATAAAAATAAAATATAAAAAAAACAATTGTACACACAGATTGATTTTTCTAACTTGATTAATGTATGAAATAAATCTGGTAAAAATATTATTTGATTTGAACCCAAATAGATTTCTTTCAAATTAAACATTTGAAATAATTGATAAGGAAATTGTTTGAGACGATTTCCACCTAAATTAATAACTTCTAATTGTTTTAATTGTTCGAGTTCTTTTGGTAATGATAAATCATCAAGAGAATTATTTTTTAAATATAAATTTTTTAAATTTTTTAATAAAGATATTTCAGATGGTAATTGAACCAATTGATTATTTGATAATTCAATTGTTATTAATGATTGAAAATGTTCGATTTCTGGTGGAATACTTAATAACATATTAGAATTTAATTGAAAATTTTTTATGCGATTTGGATGTTTAATTGAATTAAATAAATCATTTACATCAAGTTTGGAAATATTTCGATGAGAATAATCGATTGTATCATCAAAGATTGTTTGTGAACTAAAAAAAATAAAAATTTCAATAAAAAGACCCTTAGTTTTTCTTTAAATATTAAAAAATCAATACCTGCAATCACAATCTTCTTCATCTTCATCAAAGTCATCATCAAAGTCGTAATCACCTTCATAATCATCAGCAGTTGATGATGCTGCTGCCGCCATTTTTTGCGTATTGATTTATCTAAAATAGAAGCATATGATTTTTGGGTCCTCTCTATTACATATATTATCATGTGACAAACAGAAGAAAGAATAAAGAGAATGCTTCAATCTATGTGAAATCCAGAAAAAAAATATAACCCTATAGAATAATACGAACGATTTTTTGATGCAATGTACTTTTATATAAAACCTATATGATAGAGATTGAGGCTCATGTTGTGTTTTATTCGTTACAAAATAAGAAAACAAATCTGAATGATATACTCTTAATAAATAAATGCATCATTTTATCATTTGAAACTGAGATAGTACTAAAAAAATGCCGAGTCATATGTCAATGCAACACTATAGGCCTAAATCTGATCTTTTCACTATTTTTATTTACAATCGCAAGAGATTATCTAACCTAACAAACAGATAATAAACGAATAGAATCCAAAGTTTCACCATACATTCACCGAATGGCACAACGCATGTTGACGAAATGTACTTTTCTCCAATAAATCTCTTTGTTTTTCGAGGTAACTTGATGTGTTCTATGCATTTTTACCAGGAAGAAGAAAAGAAAGAAAAAAGAAAAAAAACAAAACCAGTCAAGACTCCAAGTAAATAACTAATTCGTTATATAACAATCGATAAGGTTGCTCATACTCATAGAATAAATAAAGAAAAATGTCAGGTCAAAGTACAGAATAGTTCGAATATCGAAGATCTAAATATTTCTATATGAAACAAAATGAAACGAAACAAAATATTGAATGGTGGAAAAAAAAACAGTATTAACTCTATCGTTTGATTGATCTTACATTCATTTTCATGTTATCTAGATATCATAAATATAGAAACTCAAGGACAAAAACGTGCACTTATTTCTATTTTTTCATAGAGAATATATCTGTTTTTTATTGTTTCACCAAACCATATTACCTGCAAAGGTGCTTTGATAAAAAATGGCTATGCAGAAAATTAGACGAAGTATGTAATACAATGAAAGTCGATTCGAAAAGCGAATTCTATTCATATAGGTATAGAATATTTTCCTAAAAAAAAATAATAATCACTTCGATTAGTCAAAGTATTCTGTTGCATCTGTTTCCGTTTTGTATAATTTTAAATTTCAAAAAAAATCGATTAAAATAAACATATAAACAATTATCTTTTTGTATCAACAAAGAAAGAAGAACAATAATTTTCTTTTTTTTTCACAAAGTCATTTATCTGTTATTATTATTATTATTATTATGAAATGTACAACTAAACAAATGATTCTTTATCAAATGCACGACGATTTAATGCATCAAGTACATCTTGTACACTAGGATAATAATAAAGTCTATTATTATTCGTTGATCTATTCGTTGAATTATTTGTATTTCCAATTTGATCTGTTGTTAGTGATCTTGTTAATGTATATGAACGAGCTGTTGAATCAATATCTGATGGATTTATTGCAGAATTTCTTTTTGTTGTTAATACATATTGTTGTTGATGATATTTTTTTGGACGTTCAATGACTGGATTTGAATGATAATTATTTATTGGTACAGGACGTTTTATTGAATGTCCAATATTTGGTTGATATGGTGTTGATATAGCTGATGATGGTATTGTACTAATCTCAATTGATGGAAAATCATGATCAATAGGTTCAAATTGATAATCATTATGTAAAATTGTACTTGCATTTTCACATAACATTCGATTATTATTATTCATTTGTCTCCAAATATCGTCATTTTCATTATCTTCATGATAAGATGTATTTGTTGCTAAAAATGAAAGAAAATATATTTTTTTCAAGAATCTCTTAAAAAAATAAGAATATTTGTTTTATATATATATATATATAGATAACAATAAAGAAAAAAGAAAGAAAGAAGCATATGTTATGTGCTAAATCATCTTTCAAGGCACTGATGAATAATACTGATTTCTTCTCGCCTGTCAGTTTTTCTAGGCAAGTAACTCTCTTGAGAGATACAAACACGCACATGATACAAAAAAAAACGTTGAAAAAAAAAATTTTAATCCAATATTTTCTAGAGTTATTTCTCCAATGGGATCATACATGGAGTAACGAAGTTCTTTTCTTGAAAAAGTAGAATATAAAAGAAAAAAAAAACATACCGGCATCTGTCAACATTGTCTCTCTTGAATTCATCATAGATGATAACTGACAACGAGAACAAGAAGTATGTAATCGTGAAAAACTTGTTGAACGAAGTGTAGCTTGTGTATGATGATTTCGAATAGCAATAGAATTTAAATTAGCTGAAAGGTTATTATTCGATGGTAAATAACCAAAATGAACACCGTTTCCAAACTAAAATAAATGAAAAAAAAATGTAAAGAAAATGTTTACATACTTAGCGATATTAAATGAAAGAATCTCTTTTTTCTATTCACTCATTTTCTTTCTTTCTTTACACTTTTGAACAATGAACTTTCAAAAACTAACACTCTATTCTACTTTTATATTCTTTACTCTTTTTCTTATATCTATATATAATATATGAATATAAGCTATTATTTAGTTCTACTTGAAACATTTAATTATAGTCTGTATCTGTATAAAGCTGCATATAGAAAGAGATTACAAACATTATCAATGTTACTATTCACTCAACGAGACAATCAACTATCTTTTCTTCTTTTTGCAATGAAGAAAAAGCAGTAATAGAGAAAAAAAAGGAAAGATGTCGATGAATTTCCGTCTTGTTTTGTTCGTTTCTCATTTTTCTCTCTTCTCTCTTCTATTTTCTTTCTTTCTTTTTTGTTCTCAAATAAATAACCGAACATCATAATTGTAATTTTTCTCGTTTTGAGAACATCAATTTCGTCTATCATTATTATCCTCATCATAACATTAACGTGCAAAATCAAGCAAACGATCGATTAATCATACAATATGTGAAAGCTTGACTAACTTCATAATTGACCTTCATGAGTTACTTTATTCTGCGTTTTTTTTTGTTTATATATATATCTATATATCTATATGTGCTGAAAGACAGTTTCTTTTCTTTACTTTCCATTCAAATGGACATGAAAAACAGGAAAAAGAAAGAAAATCGACGGTCTTTTTTTCTTAGATTTCCGTTCTTTGATGTTTGATTGATGTATTGACTAATATATATATATATCTATCTATCTATTCTTTTGGTAGAAAAAATTGAAACTTACATATCGAATATTCGATTCATTTGCTGCACAACCAGAAGTTAAAACAAAATTAGCATCAGTTATAATATGATCAGCATCATAACTTGTATCTTCAATTTCATCATCATCATGTGTTAATGTTTCTTTTTCATATTGTTGTTGAGAATTAATTGGAAGTGAAAATGATTTAGGTAAAACTGTAATTGGTTGATTAATTATTTCATGTTGTCTTACTTGAATTTCAAATTGTTGATGTTGTTGTTCATTTTCTTTTCGTTTTTTTATTGATATACGATTATAACGATAACATGTCCATATAGCAGTAAGAACAAGTATAAACCAACTTATAATTAATAATATAAGAAAATGCCATTGAAATTTTTGTAAAAAAAATTGTGAAAAAAAATTTTTTTGTCTTATTAAAAATGGTATTGAAGAAGTTGTTAGAAAAAAATTTTCATCATTTTCTTCATCATTTATTAAACGATGAGTTAAATTAAATTTTAATGTATAAAAACGTTCACGTGATATAGGTAAACCATGATCACGTAAGAGAAATGCAAGTATATATATTCCATCAGGTACTGTTACATTTACTTTAGTTATTAATATTGATGAATTTGTAAGATTATTTTTTATTAAATGAAAATAATCATTTGATGTACAATTAAGACATTCAATTGAAACTAAACCATTAAGATCATTATCAAGATCAATTGGTTTAAATGTATAAATAATTGTTTCTTCATTATTTATTTGTTCAATTAATAAATCAAATGGATTTGATAAAAATGGTTCATATGGTAAATTATCATTAATATCAAGAATTTGAATTTGTATATATGTTGGAAGTGAATAAGATTTTAATATTGAATCATACATTAATATTGATAGATTATAATTTGATTGTAATTCACGATCAAGTATAACTAATGTACGTATAAAACCTTGAGAATCAATTGAAAATAAATTTGATAAAGATTCATTTCGATAAGAATCAACAAATAAAAAATCAATCGTAGAATAATTTATTGTACTAAATCAAAAAAATAAAATTCTATCTTCGTTTCATTAAGAAAAAGATGATAAATAATTAATTCAAGGTATTATATCATGATTTTTACTTAATTTTCAGCTATGACCTTCAAAAATCGATGAAAAATATGGAATACAATCTTTCAATGTAAGATACGTCTCAATATTCAATAAATTTTATCTTTTTGAGGATTTCAAAAGTTGAACATAAATTGAAAAACAAAAACAAAACAAAGTCATAAGAATTATGTCAACTCAAAGAACTTGTGGGCAAGTTTGAATATATAAGGAAGGGTGTAGCTGTATTTCAAGCGTGAAAGGTAATTTAAGACTTCATCCATCCTCATTATCTTCCAAACTCATACATTCAATCAACTCCTATTCTCTATCTTAAACCACACCCACATCCTCACTCTTTATGATAGCTTGAAATCTTAGAGTTTGTGTTTTTTTCTTTTTGTAGATAAATGAAATAATGTTTAGAAAGTCTTCTAGAATTTAGACAAATCACGAAATTTCATTACTCTTATAACTTCATATGAAAATTATATTTAGAGAATTTATAAATCTTTCTTTTTCATATTTTTTTATGTTTTTTTTCACCTTGATGTTTTAATTGATGAATTTGAATTAAATAATTCAATATCAACATCTTCAATTGTTGATAAATTAATATATTTTTCAACTGGTTCTTGTTCATCTCTATCTCCAATTGTTAATCTTCCAATAATAGTTCCAATAGGTGAATTTTCTTGAACATCAAAATGATAAAGATCATGTATAAAATAAGGTACATGATCATTCAGATTATTTACTTGTATATCAACAATTACCATTGATGAATATTTTCTATTTGGATAACCAAGATCATATGCACGTATACCAATACGATAAAATTCACATTGTTCACGATCAAGTATATGTTTTGTACGTAATATTCCTAAACGCATATCAATTGAAAATATTTGACGTTCTTTAATAATTAATTCATAACGAACAGTTCCATTTTTATCTTTATCAATATCATATGCATGTAAACGAGTAAGAATTGTATTTTTTGGTTGATTTTCATTAATTTTAATATGAAAATATGTTTGATCAAATATTGGAGAATTATCATTAATATCAAGAAGTGTTATATAAATAAATAATTCTGATTGAAGTGATATAAATGATGATTTCATTATATAAGAATTTATATCTGAACGACGTTTAAGAAAATCATCTATATTTAATGATGAACTTTGTCTTGATGATAAACGTCTTTTTTCAGTTCGTATTGGACGATCACCATTATCATTTGCTATTAAATGTAAGATATAATTTTCATATTTATCACGATCAAGCATTCGAACAGCAAATAAACCATATACATTTGGACGAAATACAGATAAACGAAAAAAATCTGATGCACGACATAATGTTAAATTATCTTCAATAGAAAAACAGATGTTGTTTTTTTTTTTTTTTGATTTTAAAATATATTATTCTTATTTCTTTTACCTATTTGAACACCCTCTGGTGAACATCGAATATATGTTTGTAATTCAAGTGATAGAATACCATTTGATGTTTGATCATTATCACGTAAATGAAGTAAACCAAGTAATGTATCAGCTGATAATGGTTCTTCTTTGATTATATGAATTAATTGAGCATCATTGTCAAGAAGATTTATATTTGAACGAAATGAATTCAAAAGACGACTTTGTTCTAAAACGAATTTAGAAAAAAAAACTCATTAATCTATTTTAAAGTCTATAATAAAGTCAAAGATATTATACATCACGAAATTCATAGGGAATTGTTATTATCATAATAATTATACAAAGCAAAAGAAATAAATTTGTCTATAGAAGTCTAGTCTCAAGTAATTTCTTTGATTTAAATGTAAAGCTTTAAAATTGTTTTGTTTAATATTGTTTAGATAACAGATTGTTTTCTCAGCACTCGACACATTTCTATAAAATAGACTAGTGACGAAGCTGCCTATGGGCTATTGTCCATGTAGTTCTTTTTGAAGATGAGAACAATTGCTCAATGCTCAAAATGTCCTGACTATGTTCAAGACATAAACCATAAAATCGTGTAAAATCGAACATATTGATTGTTTCCTTATGCTATTTAGAATAGTATATAAATCTTGATACAACAACAATTAATTTCCGATGGAATTATTAAAAACTATTTATAAAGATAGAAGACAATTAAGAAATGTAAAATGAATCAAAATCACGGAACTCCAGATTTTTAGATTTTTAATATGAACATATCGGTTACAATAGTGTTCACAATTATAATAAAAAAGTATCTGCAATCTTACATTAAAAATTTACAGATATGGCAATAAAAACAAAAAAACAAACTTTTGTAGGGCGAATTTTTGGATTAATTTCAGTTTTTCTTCACCTTTTTTTTTTAATGTCCGTTTTTTTATCAGAAGATCATAGAAAACATGGTCTGTCCATTATTTTCTTCAACACTTTGCATTCGCTCAAGTGAAATTCTTCCAAAAATATTTTCACGAAGTTTTCTGCAAGCTGATCGTTGCAGGATCACGTTTTTTTTAGCAGTCTCATAGATGTAACAAATTCATGTAATTTTTATAAATTTATTGATTCCTCAAATTACTATTTAGATTTCAGATGGATGCTTAAGGTAACTTCTAAAAAAAAATTAAAACTACTTCATTCTTATAACTTTGGATCAGAGATGTCCATCACGGCTGAAACTCTGCCGCTACCGCGCCGCGGCATTAGAAAAAAAAAGTTACCGCGCCGCGATGGTTTATAAAAAAAAGTCACCACGTCGCTGCCACGCCGCGATGAGCTTTTAAGAAACCTGCCGCTGCCGCGCCGCCATGGACATCTCTGCTTTGGATAGTATGGTATCTTAATAATTCTAATTCAAAGCAATATTAACATAATATTTGTAAGTAATGAAAATAGTTGACTCTCTTTATCTCGATTACTTGAGAAATATATATTGTCAATTTTTATTTTCGATACATTTTATTTTACTAACCATAGTTTAAAGATGGATTTGATATATTCATAAATCTAATACTATCATCTTGTTTATCTTCATTTGGCATTGTAAAAATAATTTGTGGTTTTTGATCATTAACATCTTCAACAGTTATAATTATATCTGCATAGGATGGTATTGATGGCCATAATGTAGCTTCAACATCACCATGATCTTTTGCTTCAACCATAAGTGTATAATCTCTTTTTGTTTCATAATCAAGTGAATCATCCAATAAATATAATTCTCCAGTATCTTTATCAATTTTAAACATTGTTCTATTACTTGTTTGTATAAGATCATGACCGAATAAAGTATAAGAAATTTTTCCATTAAGAAATATATCTGGATCATGAGCTTGTATACGACCAATTAATGAACCTGGTTGAATATTTTCAGGTATAATAAAATGAAAATGTTCACTTTCAAATTGTGGTACATGATCATTTACATCAAGAATAACAATAGATAATTGAATTGTTATTATATCATTATCACTTAAATCATTTTCATCTATTAATTGTCGTCGTATTGTATACATAGGTGTTTGTTCACGATCAAGTAAACCAATAACATGTAAATTTAATGTACAACTTTCATTTTTTGATAATTCTATTTCAAATGGTATATCATAACGATGATATACATTAGATTTTATTGAATATTTTAAACAATATGATGAATCAAATGTATCAATTATTTGTGTATGACCAATAGGAACATCTTCTGAAACGAATAACCTTAAGAAGATTTTGGATTAATTATAAAATTATTAAAAAAAAAGTTTCTTTTAATACATACATATATGTTCGATTACGTTCAGCTAAATTTGAAGATATAGATGAATTTTCATCATCAGTTCTTGTTAATGAAATCATACAGAATAGAATCAAGACATTACTTAATGGCAACATAGTACATTTATAACAATGTTGAAATGTGATTATATATGTGAATATATATATGTATGTATTGATGTCGTGATATAACACTTAGCATTCTAATAAAATAGTTCAACAAGTTCCAAATGACGACAATCGTTGTTTGATGACATTGATTTTTTATTCTTAGAACTATTGAACAATTTTTTTCTTGTTACGTGTATGCACATATATATATATGTATATCGATACCAATTATCTAGTTTATTCTTTCGTATACTTTCTCTATGGAACAAAAAAGAAAAAAAACCGAATGTTGTCACCTGAAGGCTTAAATTCTTTTTTTCTTTTTCTTTTATCGTACTAGTTCACTCACTTGTAGTATACTAAAATGAGAATAAGATATGATGCTTGAGTGCATGCGATTATTGAACTTGAAGCCGGCAATCTTTCTATGTTTGTGAACTAAATAAATAGTAAAAAATGAAGACGCAATTACATATACAAGACATTCGTTCAATAGGGATGTACCGCCTATCGATAGTCATTTACTTTCTCTTTCCTTCGGGTAATGAGCACGCAAGTGTTCATTGTATACATATACATTTAACCCTATAGATGAAAACGACTAATTCACTAAGTATATAGACTTACTTGTTGTCTATCTGTCTGATTGTCTATATAAAAGAAGATATTTAAGAATTTATTTGTATTAACAATAGATAATTAAATCAAAAAGTCTTTTTTTTTAATGATTTTTACAATGCTTTATCTATAATAAATCCTTGAAATGCTGATTTTATTTGTTCTGTTGAATATGAACCAAATGAAATACATGTCTTTTATTGTATAACCAATAATATATATATATATATGTCATTTTGATGGCTTGATAAAAGTCAAGAACTTGCTTTTGTTCGTTTGTATATAATGAAATATGAATATTCATTTGAAATAAGTGCTTGAATACAAACAAAATTGATATATAAATATACTGATTTGACAATCTACTATTCAATCTTTTTTTTTAAATAATATCTCTTTGACCGCGTAGGCCGATGTTATGACATACATATATATAAAAAACGAATTTATTTGTTCTTTTTTTTAGTAAACGTTTTTACTGTATAAAATTAATCTCTTACTAAATGAATCAAGGAATTATCAATAAGCATCAGTAAGTATAAATGATCTCAACTGTACAAATATCCTAAACAAAAATATTCATGCAATTTATATCATTCAATAACTAAGAGATCAGATTGTTTAAAATCTATTCAAAGCGCAAAGTAGTCTCAGGACGAATATTTTCATCGTCTGTACTCAAAGGATTAACCTATTTCTTTTATAATTTTTGGATCGAACAAAATACTTCTATAATAGAATTTCGATATTTATCAATGAATTTTATCGTCATTTCATCGAATTATGATCAATTCAAACAAATTTGAGCTTGTTATCATACATAATGGTTGATACAAAAGTTTCTGAAAAAAAATGTCACTTCGTTTTTCATCGTTTTAAACATATTTAGGAAAAACCAAAGCTATCAATTCAGAATCTATGTTGAAAGTCTTTTTTTTTACTGGATATTCAAAAAAGTTTTACCATGTTTTTTCTTTCAGTAATAATAATATCCATAAATAACACAAAAAATGTAGACTGTAAAAAAAGCAATCCACAATCGTTCTGGTATCAGGAACCGATCTTCAAGTAATGTCGTATTTTTTTCTATCAGATTCATAGAGAATCAGACAACAAACTGGAAAAAAGAATAACGCAATAATATATTATAGAACGCATAACAGAAATTTGAAAAATACTAGAATATCAGTTTCTTCTATATCACAGCGACTGTGTATTACTTTTTTTTACAGATTACATTTTACTGTTATTTAAAGATATTTTCGTGACTCAAAAACTAAACATTTCAAAAACCTTTTTGATTCAACAGTTAAAAAAGGATTCTCAACCTAGGTTCTATTTTCTTAAACATGTTTTAGTCAATCTTTGGCATAAATTGTTCAATAAAACATTCATCATTTTATCTTGATCATTGATTCATTTACCAAATAATATACATAATAAATTTCTTTCATTATGAGTCAATTAATAAATGTTATGGAAACATTTTTAACAAAAAAATGAGGTTTTTTTTTTTTAAATACAAAAAAACAAACAACAACAACAGAGCAACAATGATAAACTTCTTTCTTTTTTTTTTTGTAATTCGAACATTTAACTAAGATATTGTAAGCAAAATGAGACTTTAAAAATCGTTTTTGTTTTTATTTTTGCCTGTATAATAGTTTGTTCAAAGAATTGATGATTACTAAAAGAAAAAGAAAAAAAAGAAGAAGAAGAAGAAGAAAGAAACAAGACTAAACTGTACATAAAATATTTGTTTTATTTTCAACAACATCGATTTAAAATAGTATTGTTCGATGTTCCATTTGTCGTTGTAGATGAACTAACAAGTTTATTTGGATCAATACTTTCTACAATCATTGATAAACAATCAAGACTTGATACAGTTGATGTTGTATGATGTGGTAATACGACTTCAGCATAATCTGAAAATAGTATATATATATATATACATATAAATATATATCTATATATGTATGTCTAATGATTGACTGACTAGAAAACAACAACAATCGTCTACATAGATGAGCAAGTATGATGATGATGATGATGATGATGACAGCACCTCCGCCTTACTTCGATGAGAAAGATACATATCAAACATACTGTCTTTCATTTACACAACATGTGTTCTTAAAATATCAAAAAAGAATAGATTTGCATCATCATCATCAACACGCTATTTAGCACGTTTGACGAAGCGAAACATATTATGACGAAAAAAGAAATCTTATGATCCATTTGATTTCTTTTCATTTTATTATTTTTTAAATACTTATTCGACATTAATCATTTAGAATGATCGATATATATATATATATGTATTACATATGTAAAATCGATTATTATTCAAAGAACAAAATATTTTCTTCTTCTTTTTTTTTGTTTTTGTTTTGATATAAAATAATTCTATTAACTTACTATCAATTGTACCATAGGCAGATGATGTTGAGGAATTATTACTATAATCAGTTGTTGTTATTGATGTTGTTGCTCCTGTTGTATTATTATTATATTTTTCACTGTAGTTTGTCGTTGAAGATCTTGATTTTAATAACTAAATATGTATATATAAATATATTTACATAGATCAATGTCTGGTATTTTTCTTAATATCTTATAAAGACAATAGACAAAAATGTGCAGAATGACAAGATCATTTTCTTCTCAAATATAAACATTCAATTATTGTTGATAAGAAAGAGATGAGTACTATGATCAAACACATTAGAATAAAGAGAATGACTAAAGCAAGAACTTGATATTAAGAATATACCATCATTGTTCTGTATGTTTCTTCTTTTCTTTCTTTTTTTTTCTTGTTTTGTTCTTAACAAGACTACTCATTCTGATAGATACACTCGAGTAAGAATCGGCGTAGAAGAAAAAAAATAGCTAATGAGGAGCTCGATTTACAACTATAAAGATATTGACCTATCTTTTCTTTACTAATGTAATTAATAAAAAGAAAAAAGAAGAAGAAGAAGCTATAGAGATAATGATATAACTTTATATTCTATAAAATATTTTGTTATTCTATTAATTTAATATTATATTGGTTTTTAAGAATATCTTACTTCATTGGTATTTGTTGTTGTTGTTGCTGATTTTTGATCTAAATCATGTTTTAATGGTCTTGAAGTAACACCAGCAGAACGAAGTAAATCTTCTAAATTTTCAATATATTCAATAGCGTTACGTAAAATTTCCACTTTTGGTAAACGTTGACTTGGATTAGGACATGTACGTCTTTTTAATGTTTCAAATGCTTCATTGACTTTACGTAAACGTCGTCGTTCACGCATTGTAGCAGCTTTTCGTCTATCAACAGTAACTGTTTTACGTTTACAAGCTTTACATGCCCATAAAAGACAACGACGAGTACCATCACATGAACCAGTAGCAGATATTGATGTATTATTTGGATCAGTTGTTGTACTTGTATGTAGTTCATTTTTATGTGGTGTTAATGTTAAATTTGATTGTTCATCACATGAATGACTTGATGGAGATTGTGATCCAGCTGCTGAAGATGACATTATTGAACTTGTTGGTGATACATGTGAAATTGTTGTTGATGATTGTAATTGTGGTGGTGGATAAAAATTATTTGTATTATTAATAAGAGTTTTATCTGAACTAAGTTCAGATGAAGGTAATGGTGGAGAAAGTGATGGTGCTCGAATATGAATATAAGATGAATTCGTTTGTTGTAAACTTGAATAATGTGGTAAAAATGATGATGTTGATGTATTTGTAGTTGGATTTGTTGATGATGAATCAATATCATATGTTGTATATGTACGAATATTTGTTGAATATGGATGTTGTTGTTGTTGTTGTTGTTGTTGATGATGATGATGATGATAAAATTGTGATGCATAAGATGGTACAAATTGAGCAACAGCAGCATATTGTCCATCAACAGTTGAATATAATTGAGTCGCTGGACTATGTGCACTGTTCGGATGAAAATAGGCACCATAAGATGAAACAGAAACAGGTGTTGGTGAAACCGATGGACCATCACAATACTGTTGTTGACAACTGCGAAAATCTGTCATCATTGTGAAATGATTTCAAAGAATTTGAAATACAATTGATTAGAATATATATATATATATTCAATCTAACAATATGTATCAAACATAAAACAAAAGTCTATTGCTGGATTTCGTAACGATGCATCTTCTTTTTCTTTCTCTCTCGACATATCTTCCTCTTTTCTATAGTTTCCTTTTATCTGGTTGGCTGTTTGAAACTGCGTTTGATGGGAGGATCGAATAGCAATTAAGAATCGTTCCTTGTCTTCTTCTCCACTCGCTCTCTCTTTCTCTTTCTCTCTTGTTCTCTCATGCGGTATTGCTGATGATGTACAAGCAAACTGATAACAGAAAAAGGCAAAGTAAACGAGTAATGATGATAATGCATCGGTTGAGAACGAATCATCAAGTCAAAACAAGCCTAGCACTAGTCGATAATCATGTGATCGATGTTATTTTCAATTTTAAAAAGCAATTAGATGTCGATTACCATACAAAATCAGTTCTAGTTGATTCAATAAATTAGTAAAACACAAAAATTGAACATCTATTATGAAAATATTTGAGTTATTCTTTTTCTACATTCAAACATCAGATCATTGAATTGTTTTGTTAAGCATATATGAATAAGATCTTCTAAAGTTGTTTTATTTTAAGTGACGAAATCAACTTATTTTCAAAAGACTTTCTCACGAATACTAATAATGAATCAACAAGACTCATGATATAATTTGAAGTCACTTCTTGTTTATATTAATATTAAATTGAAGTAAATCTTATTGTTGACGACTACTTTATCTGAAGAATATCTTGTTCTAATATGTTTTGGCAAAAAAGAAAGATTGTTTACGTTATTATGAAATAGTCTTTAAGAAATCTATGACAACATAGTTCTTCTCTTTTTCTCCTTAACTAAATCAAATGCTTGAAAAATGAAAATTAAAGTCAAAAATTTGAACGAGAATTTTTTGTTTTACTTATTGATTATAAATTGTTTATAAAATATTTAAAAAATGTAATCTATTAAGTTAGTAAATCAAACTGGTATGTTCTGATGGCATCTATAGAAAAAGAAAACTGATCGATCATGATGTCAGAGTAAGATAAAAACAGGTGTGTGTTTGTCAAAGAAATTACTATTAGTCATTATTGTCTGTAAAAACGATTACAGTAGAAAAGACATTTATCGATTGTCAAAAGAGATAATGGCACAATCAGACTAGAGAGAAGAAGAAGAAGAATACAATACAAATAATGATCATTCCGACGAAAGGCAAGAACAAAAAATCAATTATATTCATGTCAGTAACATAGATATATGTACATCTATAAGAAATAAATGAATATCGACAATCGTTCGAAAAGAAAATTTTGTTTTTTTTTTTTTTTGTTTTCTTTTTTTGAATACAAGATTCCCAGATGAAATAAAAAAATAAATAGTAAAAATGACAATAAGTAATTATTTCTCTCTTTCTTTCGTTCTCGGCTTTTTTTTTCTTGTTTTTTCTTCGTTTCTTTTACTTTTATCTCTATATGTGTTCGGTGCAACTCCCTCGGTGAGAAAACATCTAGTATGTTGGACTTCGTTAATTGATATGTTGGAGTTATATTCCACTGAGAATGATATGCATATATAGGATCGATACCGATGACTAAAGAACAAAGCAAATTAGGCTATGATTTTAGTCTCAATGACTGTGGGTGGTAGATATATATAAATACATAGAACAAGAGGAAAATCTTCTTATATTGAAATGTTAAATAAACATATATATGAATGTATGTCCTTGCTAAAAGAAAATCGCCTATGAGAATTGGGATTTATGAGATAAGGACAAGCATTGCTTGTTAATATAGAATTACGAGTACTCAAAACTTGGTAACAAAATACATATCTTATATAAATAAAAGAAAACAGAACAGAACAGATTTTATCCTTGATTAATTGAAAAACATTGATAATTGTTTGAAAATAGTTGTCATGGATTAGTGATTGTATTTTGTTTTTTTGAATGCTAATGATACATCGATCGCTGATCGATTCGGCATATTCTTTTAGCTCTGAAAAAACTGATACACCGTTCGTGATGGTTAGAGAATTAAAAATGCAGAGAAAAAAGCAAGCTCATTAGTTCCGGTAATCAATTGATCAACGTGTGGAGAAAAGCTAAAAAAAAAGAAGAAGAGCACCGACACGTTGATGTTTCTTCGATTTTCAAATAATATTTAATGCTTCCCAGAGGGGAATGTTTGATCAAGCAATAGAGAAAAAAAAGAACTATGCATCTTTAAATTTAAAATGATCATGTCTTTCGACAAGTTCATGTATGATGATTTAAATATTTGTTAACAATGTTAAATTGATAATTTTTTTAAGATGATTGAACAATTTGGATAATGTTTAAATAAAATTTGAAAGTATATTTATGATGAAATTTATTAAATCTTGAATACATTTTAGAAGTTTTTGCGCATTGCTTTTTTAATAGATGTTTCTTTGATTGATGAATTGTTCACAGAATAAAAAGGATTATAAATATGAAAGTAGAGCGAAAATTTTGATGCTTTGAGGTCAAGATAACCTATCAATTTTTTGGTAAGATATGCATTGACTAATAGAGAAATTATCTATTTAATTGAAAACTTTGTTTTCCTTTGTTCTCTATCGATAATTTGTTGTAGTAAACAATGAATTTGAACATTAAAAAAAAAGAAATAGCTATTAGTATGTATTCTAAGATTTCTGATCATTCAGTATTGCTCGTTAATGTTCAAACAAGTTTTATCAAACTGTTACTTCGCTTAAACGAAATTACTCAAGAGTAATTATATTCTTATGATAATTTTATTCATGATGAAATGAGAGAATAATCTTTCATTGTTATCTGTCAATGTATATATCATATTGAACTTAAACAGTTGTCGAAGTTATTTCAGATCAGTAAAATACCAAGTAATTAGCAATTTATTAATGATCTCACAATCAATATATACATATATATTAGAAGTTCATTTGAAAAGTATACATATAAGTTTTCTATTTGCATGATACTATGTTCTGTTGTTCACAAAATAGATTTCTAGAATATTATGTTCTGATTTAAATAAAAATAATGAAAACTTGAAGAGCAGTGATTAGGTGAGAATGACAATGAAGAGAAAACCACTGTGAAACAACTAGGAGAAAATGCATAATGACTCTTGCGACCTATGATTTTCTTCTAGTACAGTGAAAATACAATTTTATATATAATGAATGATAAATTTCAATAATATCTCGCCTAAAATGTTTCGAAACCAGAAGTTATACGTACTTCTTTATGTACGAATATTATTATGGTACTCGTCTCGCATGTTCTTTTTTTGCAGTAAAAATAGCTTGACTAATGTAGTTTATACTGAATTAATCCACAAATCATGTCGAACTAAATGTATGTCTATGAGTTTACTTCTTTCCGATGTTATCTTTTAACAAAGTATCTAATTTGCTGAAGATCGTAATTGATCATAGAAAAAAGTTCGCAAAACTATGGATATATTTGGTCATATTCATGATGAATATTTCAATATTTTTATTTTATTTTATTATAGCAATAACTAAGAATTCGATTGATAAGTGTATTTTAAGTAGTACACGTATTTATGAGTTGACGTAAACAATTATAAATCGGATGATCTTCTTTTTGATCGTATAGTAAATGATTTATATTTAATTTCCATTTATTACGAAAGACCACACTTAATATTTAAAGGGAATTAGCATATTGTTTTACACTTTAACGATCATTTTATACAAGATAGAAGAATTGATATATATGATTGTTTTGAATAAATAGCAATGGATAAGAAAAATCTGCCAATCTTTAGTTTAAAGTGAAGAAAAAAATTAGTTTGTTCATTGTTTTTTGATTAGCACTGAGAATTTCGTTCTAAAAAATTTTCTCGAATGAGCAACGATTCCTTCTTATATAGAATTCAGTCTATAATATTTCGATACTAGAGACCGCATGAACAAGGTTTTTTAATTTAGGATGCAAAAGTCTTTGCCCAAATGTCGGATTCTGTTATATTACATCGTCAACTTCTTAATTTTCCAGAAGAAATCTGATGAAGAAGAACAGCCGAAAACCAAGTACCTTTAAAAAAGTTCTTGCAACATTTTTTCAATTTTAAAAGTCTATATTTCTGAATTATTGTGAGCTACATGAATGAATCAACATACAATGCATTAAAAAAGTCTGTCAATAGCAGTTTTAGCAAAACTTGTTAAATCTGTTTTGAAATTTTTTAATCAAAAAAGTTTGAAAAATAAAATTTTTTGTCCGAGAAATACCAGTTTGCAAGAATATCAGCTCTCATCTTCAGATATTATGCATGAACTGAATTCTTTTTGCTTTATTTATTCCAAATACTTCAAGTCATAAAAATTAAACAGAACAAAATGATTCAAAAAAAAGTTTTCTACTGTTGCAACATGCCTAGGTAGTAACAACGGTCTATTTATTCAGTCTTTTCTTAGAAAAAGCTATATTTTGGTAAAAAAAAACAACTAAGAGTAAATTTAACTTTCAAAACAACATTGAAAAGAGAACTTTTTACACTACAGAAATTAGTTGCACACATGTTCTTTTATTTTCTTTCCGATTTAAAAAAAGAATTAATAGAAAATAAAAACAAAATATTGTTGTTTGAAAGTAAAGTCGCAAAAGCTTTGTTTGATATATTTGCCTTTGGACTTTTTCTCCTCGTCAAATTCGCTCCGAAATAACATTTCTAATAGGAAATTTGTAGGACAGACATTGTTCTTTCTAGCAAAGACAATTTTCTTGATCTAGAAGTCATTTATGTGGTATAATAGACTTTGACATTTTTGCAAAGACTTCTTTTTCGTAAACAATGCATATTCTTGACGAAAGTCAAATATATCAATTCTATTGTGAGAAGCAAAATCATTATTTTGTAGTGAAGAGAAAGAAAAATAGATCTATACTATTAAATAACAAAATATATCTCATCAAATGAAA